CCACATCCGCGAATGGGGCAGCCCCGTACCATGTCTTCGCGCGCTGGAGTGTAGTGTGGATAGTACTGGGCATCCTCTTCCACAATCTGTAGGCTTGTACCGGTGGGGTATCATACTTCGGGTTTGGTATTAACAAGATAACAACCATCGATTCTTTTGTATTGAAACTATGTATCTCTCATCACGATAGCTGGGCAGTGGGCTTCAATTTTGGGAACAGTGAGGTGGAAGTTGCTTTCACAACTTGAACCCCTCGACTAAAATGCAGGATCACGCAGGGCAGTGGAACCATCTGATTCAATCGTAAGTATGAACACTACAAAGGACCGACGCTTAACCGCTGTCTCGCGCAATGTATTGAAGCTCCCGTGGCGGTCCCACGGACGTGATAGTACAGTAAATAAAATTGATCTTCTACGGTCGTGTATGCGCACTGACATTGGGTCAATCCCCGCGCCCACTGCAATCACAGGATCCGATGTTGGCACTCTGATCGAGGCGTTGTCTACCTCCATCTCTGCTGCCGGTGTAGGCGCGGACGGCGGAACAACATACGTACAAGTCGATGTCGAAAGCTCCCTCCTCCGGGTCGAGCCCGCCACGACCATCACCATCCTCAGTGCCGCTGAATACAGGATTTCAACTATGTTGGGCATCTCGGGCAAATCTTTTTGGTTGAAATTTCACTGACCGAGGGATATTGCTGCGAGTTTTATCGATCAGTATACACCGGGGAATTGCAAACTGGATCAATAAAAAAAAAAGCTTCAATTTGGGCTAATGCAATGACTGCTTATCTCTCACACATGTCACGAAATATGATAGATTAAGAATGGATGCAAGGCTCAGGATTTCAGAATGCATCTAAATCCAGCCAAATCGATTACTATTCGGTGGAGAAACCGTTGTAACAAGCTTCAGTTGAAAACACACAAGGTGGATTTTGACGAATCTTCATATTCCGTATCACACCCTGAGTAGGGTATGGTTTTAAAGCCCTATCTAATGCCAAAGATCAAGTGAATCCGTGAAGAAATGGGGCGGGAGCGTCGCTTGCAAAGTGTGTGATCAAATTTGATCTTATCTAGATATTTTTATGAGTGTCATGCTCATTGCAAACCGCTGTAAGCGCCCCCCTTTCTTGAAGTTTCTTCCAGTGGGGATATTTTTCTGCGCAGTCTGTTGAAGTTATCAGATCGTGGCGGAGAGTTTCACGGGATTAATTTACCAGTGAGTCGGATCTGATCCATTCTTTCTGCATAAGTACTGACAACATAGCTCAACTCGTGTTGGTGATCATGCACATCTCCGCCACGTTTCTCTTGCTCTTAACGTCAGTCTACGGTACGCGAAATTCCAAGTGGCATTACAAAAACTCATCTTGTGGTCGAAGTATCTGCGCAGACGCTCTACGATATCCCGCAAAGCGTTTTTTCCTCAGGCGTCTTCACCGCGGTCGTGCATGAGTCCGTCTCCATCTCCGCTGCCGGCGTCGGCGCGGACGGGGGAGCGACATGCGTCGAAATAGACGTTGAAAGCCTCATCGTTGCGTCCGATAATTTTGACCCCTCCACGACCATCACCTTGCTCAGCGTCCCCACCACCGTCACCGGTTCGTTTCACGCTTTGGGCTCAGAGGATTCGCTCTCATCTCCCGTCGCCCGCAACGTTCATCGCCGACGCATCTGATTTCGAATACAGCTATACAACGTTGTTCGGGCCGCAGAGCAGCGCCATGACGTTCGCCGAAAAGTGCGCGTTCGGGACCGGTACAGCCGGGATGGCTACCTGCATCGAGCAAGGATTTGGATCCCCCACCACGTACTCAGGCCGCGTGGTCCCCTTCTTCACCCTTACTGCCGTGACGCCCACACCCACCACATCCGTGAACGGCGCAGCCCCGCACCACGTCTTTGCGCGCTGGAGCGTGGTGTGGATAGTACTGGGTATCCTCTTCTACAATTTGTACGCTTGTAGGCATGTACTGTGAACGGTACTGTGAAGTGTTAGCAATTTAAGCGTGGTATTCGTTGGCGGGCTAACTACTCGATATTCGGAAACGTGCAATAATTAATTGGATTCACCCCGGGTCCAACTCGGAGCCAGAACATTCACACCGAAGATTGCTAAATAAAGTACCGAGTTGCAACCAATTCCGTCTGAAATTTAAGCTGATTCAAGTAGTTTCAACCCATATATCAGTTTAGATTTCAGGTCGATTTAATTTTCTAAGTCTATGCTTTAGGCTTCAAAAGCACATCAGGTGTGCCTAAATTTGGGAAACTCCAGCAGTTACACTCGTACTAGTATATTGGGTGTGGATAGGTGGGTATGTTGAAGCTTCCCAAATTTAGGTATCGGATTGCGATCAAAGTGGCCCGACATATAAACTGATTCAAGAATTGAAACTACTGGAATCAGTTTAAATTTCAGGCGAGTTTTCTAATGTGATATGTTGGGTCTCAAAAGCACATCGGGTGTGCCTAAATTTGACATCCTTCGGTGTGATTCTTACTCATGCCGAAGCTTGTCCGTGTTAGCAATCACCGGCGATGACGCGGCTGCACCGCCACACCCACCTTTCTCCTCCTCCTTCATGGACTGCGAGAATTGCGAGCTGAAGCAGCGGCAGTTCTACTGTACGAACTGCATTCGAATACAGTGAGTAGCGCCTTCATTTTTATTGCAAAGCTACCACGGAACCGCGCAGTACTCGGGATTTCCGGCAGCAGACGCAGCACTTTGCCGCAGAGCGCGACGAGCAGGTCGCAAAGTCGACAAAGGCCCTCGGTGCCGTTGAGGCTGCGCGAGTACGGCGCGCGGGCGTCGCGCAGATCCAGACCCGCGTCGATGAAGTGCTGAGTGCCCTTGCCCGGCTACGGAAGGACAACGATAAAAGTGAGTCAATTACAGGTAATAAATTTTAATATTAATCGCGACAGAGCGCGACCGTCTGCGCACCTTGCGCGAATCGCTCGCGGAGCGGCGGCGCACGCTGTCTGCCGCCACCGCCCTCACCGCGCCGCCCAATACCAATCCCAATAGCGCCACCGCGCCCGCGCTCGCTGCGCTTACCAACCTCTCCGGGCTGATTGCGCGCGCACGCGCAGGGCTGGTGCAGGAGCTCGTAGACGTCTTCAACGTCGTCGAGGTCGGCGGGCGGCCTCCGCTTGGTGGCAAAGCGGGCGCGCGCGGCGAGTGGACGATTGGGGATCTCATCCTGCCCGTGCCCGGCGATGTGCGGCGCTACCCCCCGCAGCACATCAACGCCGTCCTCGGGCACGCGGTGCACTTCGTGTCGCTGCTCAGCTGGTACCTCGGCGTGCGCCTCCCGTTCACCGTGCGCTGGGAGGGCGGCAAGCTCGGCGTCGGCGTGCCCTGGATCGGTCCTGGAAGAGGGGGCTGGGGACGGTGGACGGCGAGCCACCCGCTCTATCTTTCGCTCTCTTCTTCGCCGCCCCCTGCACCTCCACCGCCAGCGCAATCCCAACTTACCCTCCCCGAATCACTCGCGGAATCGCTCTCCGCGTCTATCTCGCAATTCCTCCCCGACCGCGCGGATACCAGATCTCGCGCAGATTCCACCTCTCGTGCGAATACCACCTCTCGCGCAGACTCCACCCCCGCCGCAGAGACCCCCAACTTCACCCCCGCGCTTGCGATGCTGCTCTACAACGTCCTCTACCTCGCGCACACGCAGGGCCTCGCCATCCCGCTCGCCAACGCAGGCGACGTCCTGCGGAACCTCTGGGCTGTGTGCTGTGCGCCCGAGCTTGGGCGCCGCAGCCACGCTACTGCCAGTGTGGTTTACCCCAATACCACTTCTGCTGGGAGTAACACCAACGCGCCGACCTCGCCGCTCGAGCGCCTGCCCCCGCCCGCACCGGGGCAGCTCCCGGTCGAGTTCGCGCACGTGCTTCAGGCGGCGGCGAGTGGTGGGGGGCGGCGCGCGGTTGGGGGTGGGGGTGGGGGTGGGAACGTGCCGGTGTCGGTGTCCGCTGCGGGTGGGCGAGATAGGGATAAAGAGAGGAAGGAGGGGAAGGAGGGGAAAAGGAAAGAGAAGACGGACGACGAGGACGGGTGGGATATGGTTAGTGAGGACGGGTATTGATTAATTAGCTGTAGGATTTAGTTGGGGTTGGTAGATAACAGGTTTCGCCCGACCACACGACGCCGAATCTGATTCGTCTGAACTCGAACGGGATTTGTCCCGCTTGTGCTCGTGCTTTGTTCGGCTTGTTCACCTATAGCTACTACTCCCACCATCTGCGCTCATACTACTATTCAAACCATCTCCGGTCAATTACTGATCCTCTGCGCATCTGGTTTCACTCGTCACTGTTCGCACACACATAAAATCAAAATGAAAAATATTACTCGACATGACCACCACATGCCCGTGGAAGGAATCGAACCTCCACCTCCCCGAAATTTTCGATGGCTATCGTTCATTAAGACGGGGCGACCTCCATGGTCTACACAGGCTCTCATGCAGCTCCTAATGCCCATATTCATGCATGAGTTCTGGGTCTAAGATAATGATTCCGAGTCGCGCGAGCACGACACCGATTCCATACTAATAATCGGTGTGTCTGCGGGCCTTGTGTTAGCTGGTACCCAACTCCCTTCGCTTTCTGGTTATGGGTGCATAGACCAAGAAAAAGAAGAGACGCTCGCAACGACGCCCGTGGAAGGAATCGAACCTCCACCTTCCCGAAATTTCACGTGGTGGGTTTTCATTGAGATGGGGCGACCTCCATGGTCTACACGGGCTCTCATGCAGCTCCTAAGGCTCATATTCATGCAAGGGTTTTGGGCGTAAGATAATGATTCCGAGTCGCGCGAGAACATCGATTCTATATTAATTCGTGTGTACGGCGCATTGAAGTCGGGCCTTGTGTGGCTAATACTCAACTTCGCTAGATTCCTAGTGCGCTGCAATCTCCATAAGGGCATAGAAAAAGGAAAGGAAAAGGAAAAGGAAAAGATGCTGTCAACGACGTCCGTGGAAGGACTCGAACCTTCACTTCCCCGATTCAAAGGACTTTGTGAAGGAGTAATGAATGCAGGGCGACCTCCATGGTCCACACGGGCTCTCATTCTCCTCCCATTAAGCCTTGTGTATCCTCGACTTCCGTAATGCAAAGCCGCTGCCGCGCGGGTCCTCACCCTCTTTTTCGATGGCGTGGTACCAAAAAAACAGAAATCTTTCTTGCATGCTCGTGGGAGGAATCGAACCTCCACCTCCCCAGAACGGAAATGGTTGTAGCAAGATATCCGTATGGGGCGATGCTCCATGGTCCACACGAGCTCTTCTGCAGCTCTTAATACCTTGGTTCATGTACAAGTTTGCGACGCAGTAGGTCGGAACTTTTGAGTACAATCACGTGCATACGGTTCTGCGCCGTTTGAGCGTGTATAAAAACTGAAGGTTTGACTCGTGCCCCCAATGCCCGTGGAAGGAATCGACCAGGTCTGGTACTCAAAGTATCCGTTAGCTTTCTGGTCCGCGAAAATTTCACCCATCGGTCAAAGTGCATAGCAAAGCAAAATATAAAGCTTTCGAAACTATATTATACCCGCGGAAGGTATCGAGCCTCCCCTTCCTCGGTATTCAAATGATGGAATATGATCAATGCGGGCGACCTTCATGGCCCACATGGGCTCTCATGCTCCCCCAGTTATGCCTTGTGTATCATCGAGTTCCGTTGTGTGAACCGCTGCTCGCTGTATATATAGACGGTGACTGACCCAGCGCGAGCCTCGCGCTGGGTCAGTCACCGTCTTTGAAAATTCCCCGGGCCTTCGCGGCGGTGCGAAAATGAAGCTGGGCGCTGAACCTCTATGCTCGTGGGAGGAATAGAACCTTCACCTGCCCGGAATTGAATTCATGAAGACAGGGTTAATTCGTAAGGGGCGACACTCCATGGTCCACACGAGCTCTTCTGCAGCTCTTGATACCCAGATTTATGCATGAGTGTTGGGACGCCGTCTGTATTAGTATCCGAACTCTGGGCTTGTCTTGTCCTTCTTGTCCTCAAATCATGTCCATCCGGTTCTGTGCCTAACAAGGTTTGCCTCGTGCCTCAAATGCCCACTTCCCCGGAATTCAAAGGATATGCGAGCCAACCAGTAATGAATACGGAGCGACCTCCATGGTTTACACGGGCTCCTCTAATCCGTCTCCCATTAAACTGTATATATCCACGGAATTTTCATATATCATGTCTTCTCCCCGACAAAAAAAAACGAAATTGATGTGCTACATCCTCTCTTAATATCCGTTAAACTCCGGAGCATTACGTATATCCCCCGGAAATTAGCTGCAGAACTGTCCCGCACTCGCGGAGGCTAAATATCGTACCAGTGAACGAGGAAGGAACCACTCTCCCGTTCGTATCCCAAATCTCCCCACCCGCACATATATATCCACCAATCACCGTGGCACAAACCTCTCAGGTAGTACTAGTAGGTATCTCTACCCGTCAGCGTCGTCGCAATTGATTGAGACCCCAGGGGTGTGGTACCCAACTCGGTGGTGGAACCCTGGCTTACGTCTACCTGTGGGGCATTGGCTTCCAGAATGCTCTCGGTGCTTTCGAGCAAATTAGGATCGCTTCCGGCGGCAGGGTCGTTGGCCATGGTGAGGATTTGGTTGATTCTATGGTGCAAACGGGCTTGAAATTTCTCGTCCTTCTCCGAGATGGTTACCACATACGCATTAACCGCTGCGCATATTGTCGTTCGCGCAATTTGATCATCCAAGGACTCGAGTAAGCTCCGGTTATCCCAGTCAACTATCGCGTCGATCAAGTGCGTGGGCGAAGCCCTGGAAGGATCGTTGACCACGTTGAAGAACCAGGAGGCAAATCGACGCTGCAGTGAGGGGGATACCTGTTCCCATGGATGGGTCTCGACTAGATATTCAAGCGTTCGGACTGCTTGTTTTTTATTGCGTTCGTCGGGCATGGGTAATCCATTGATTTCTTCCAGAAATTCCACGAGCAGCACGAAAAAAGCCTCCTTCCAGCGTTCTCTCGGCCCCGCCAACGTGTCGTCAGGAAGGGGAATCTGCAACCTGATCATCAGGGCGTCCAATTCGTCCGGTGGAAGTCCGGCCGCCTCCAGTAATATACGTGATTTAAGCACGGCAATGGCGCATGAGGATATATGGAATCGGGGCGTGGTGAGAACAAGAGTGAGGGTTTCCTCGTCGAAGACCGCTCGGTGAAACTTAGTGCACCAACAAAGCTTCAAAATCGCATGGATCATTCCGACCGTGGAGGCATATAAGGTTTCCTCTGTCGGATACCTCGCACGATGGGCAAGATATTTTCTAAGCAAAGAACCTATGTATTTTGGGTTGCAGCTTCCCAATGTTCGCGCCACTGTTTTGTTTTCAGTGTCGCGTACCCATAGATAGGAAACGAAGGCGCCCGCGAATCCGGGGTCAAAGAATTCTGGGTGGGGCTGCAGGATGCGGAGTATGAGATTGACGATGTGATCAATATGGTGGAAGTTCTGGTGGGAATTCAATGTATAGTAGTGCTCGTGGATGATGGCGATGAATGTATCCTTTAGCTTCGTTTGAAATTTGGTACTTCGCGGTACCATGATGCGGCAGGTAACCTCAAATTCATAGGGTTCGTCCTTGAGCCTGGCGGAGTTGAGCAGGTATTCCGTCAGGACATCGTAGGCGTCGGCCTCCAACGATAACAACGCGTCCTGGGCTCGTTGAATCAGGTCCGGAATATCTATGGGCTGGAGGGCCATAAGACTTGATAGAACTCCGCTGAAGTGGGTATACCCCCAACGTTCCGCCTCATATCGAACCCTGTGGAGTCGGAGACGCCAATCTTGACGACGAGTGGGGTTCCCTGCGTTCTCTAACGTGGATATAGCCTCTCGCATGAGTCTCGATAATGAACAGAACCCATTCCAACGAATGAGGGAGTACGCAGATGTCGTATATGACTTGATCACAGTGACGTCTGCTCCCGAATTCAGCAGCGATCTTAGAATTGTCGACTCGAACACGGGGAAGGAATGTAGCATCGAGCTATTTGAAGCAGAGAAATAGGCAATCACCCACAGCGCCTTGATACAGGAAATACGGCGTCGAACCTCACGGTCGTGAGGAAGAAGACCGGTATCGCAGGTGCACAGGAGCCCCTCGATTCGGGATACGAGTCGGAGTCTGTGGGTGTCAAGAAGCAGTTTGATCATATCGCCGTGGCCTGTTCGCCTTCCAGTGGGCCTCCATATGAGATCCGGAAGAGCTTCCACGAATGGTTCAAGCTCGTTGTCATCCGCCAAGGACTGGAGCGTCCACATGACTGCTCGCACATCACGTTCGTCGCGTTCGCTTGATTTTTTAACGGCGTCGCGTGCCATAATCTCAATCATGGTGGGTCTGTGTTTCCTTGTCATGGGAGATCGCTCGTCCGCAAGTGTGGATTCCTCGTCCCAAAATGATCTCCGCCGTAGCCGCCACCATACGAGATTTGAAAGGGGCGTTCGATATGGCGAGTCGGATGAGAATATGGGCAGCACCGTCAGATAGACGTAGGCGGTGGAGATTAAAGTGAGGAGTACGGCCGCCATGATCATAAGCACTGGGCTGACCGGGATAAGGAACGCCACGAGGCCAGCGAAGAAAAGGAGAAGCGATACATGAAGGAGGAGAGGAATGAACTCAACCACCTTATGCATGCGAAAACGCCTGAGGCCATAATATAAGTAGGAGAGAATGCGAGCGCGAACGATGGGGGAAGGCCGCATCTCCGTCCTCTGTATGAAGTCCCGGGCCCACTGTTGCACCAGCGTCGCATGAGGGCGCAGGAGAGGCTCGCCCAGAGGCTCAGGAACCAGAGTATGTTGCAGGCCAAGGAGGCGGGAGTGGGTGTGAATGCCTCCAAGGACGAGATATTTACGGCGGATGCATTGGAGCGGGCGTCGAGTTGAAGAGAAATCTGTGTTAAAACTGCGATGGAGATCGTTCCCTGATTCGCATTCAAAGTCTTGTAGCTCTCGATGAGGAAGGCGGTCAAGCTCGCTGAGAAAAGACCCGCCTGTATTGCTACACGGTGAGTCGAGTCCAGTTTCATTCGCATGACACGCACAAAGATGAGCAGTCCCTCCATGTCTGACTTCCAGCTATCGACGAGGGCCTTGTCGTAATTCTCCGCTTCGGAGATGTACACAGCCCACAGTTTAGCGCCTGCGAATTCATCGTTGTCTAGGGACGAACGTCAACTCAAGTGTATGTGGAACGAAATGGATGAAGAATATATCACTGACCAAGTGGCCCCCGAGCTTGAGAGGTGGCTTTCCTTGCGGAACTCATGGTGGTCGTGTCTAAGCAGCGAAGCTGTAGAGCGTGAGACGCATGGGTTAATTTATCACTCCCCGCTTATCAAAGCGATGTGTACCACCTTTAGCGCGCGCTGTTGAACAGCAGCGCGTACCGGTTGCAGCCCATTTCAAGATGATCCTGTCGAAAGTTGCCCACAGCCATACGCATTGCCTCCCATCTGTTTCCTGTTACTCGTATTCGGAGTTAGGAGAATGTGACAGTCTCCTTGGCTGTGCGGCAGACAGTTCTGGGCGGGACTGGTGGCGCGCACATATCGTCTAGAATTAGTTCGTTCTTGGTTCGTTCCCAAGTTCAGGTGTCTCGCGGAAGAGGACTTTAGCAAAATAGGGCAAAATTAACAGACGGGCTGTTACCTTTCCGCCGACTGGACTAGCTGCGAAGTGCGAGGCGAGGGTAAGGACGCCGGAACGGTGATCATGAGCCCGGTGAGTTAGAATGGAAGATCTGAAGTCTTGCATCATGAAGTCGAAAGACATCCGTGCGGTGGCGGTGCCGGGTCATCCCGTGTTTGCCCGTGTTTTGATCCGACTCTTCATTCCTTCCTTTGACCTCGAACTCTCCAGCACACGGTATGCAACCATCTCAGGGAAGATTCAATTTGGACGCGGCGGCTCCCATTGGCACAAATCACGTCGGTCGCTCGCAAGGGACTGTCACCGTATGGATAGAGCTTGACACCATGAGTCTGAGCCCCTCAATTGCGTAAGTCTCGCGACTT